TTATCTTTTGTTTTAAAAAATAAAAATAAAAAGCAATTAATTAAGTATTAATAGAACTAGCTTCTATTCTTCCTGGCTTAGGGGAGACTAATCCCGTCCCTTCGTCTTCTTCTTCAAGTAGCTCTACGGAGTATGTTTGGTTGTGATCTCCGCAGTATTCCATGACATCCATCATGTTTTTAATCACAAGGTTTTTTACTTCTTTTTCGATGTCAATTTCAATTTTTATTTCTTTAATTAATTTATTACTTTCTTTATTTATTAATCCATTGATTGAAATTACTACTGGAATTATTCTGACATCTTTTAATTTTTCTATTTTCATTAGCCTATTCTTTAATTCCTTATACATATTTCTTTTTTTCCAATAGGCTCAATTAATATTGTGATCAGCCACAATAGTCATATCAAATAATAGATCAGTTTTATTCTTTTTATCTAATACATATATATCTGGTCTTTTGTGGTATTGTCCATCACTTTTAGGCATTATTTGTTTGTTCCATATCATTGTGATGTCTTTATATTGGAACACTGTTTCATATGGAGGTTTTTTATATTGAATATTTCCTGTGTATTTTCTTATCAATCAATATTATAATGCCAATATTGTCATGTTTTTCTTTTTGTGATTTATTATGATAAATACAAGATAGTAGAATGTGTTCTACTGTTGCTATCTTGTCTTTACATAGTGGGCAGTATTTCAATCTTTCATTTTTCATTATTTTTGCTTTCTTATACCCACAAAATATTGCTCCATCTTGCATTTTAGTTAATTGGAGAAATGCATTCTTTTTAATATTGATGGACTTCCATGCTTTCACTGTAGTAGTTTTATCTACTCCTTTTGACTCGAACCATCTTCTAAAGTGTCCACTTATTTGATGACACTTCCATTTTTTGATGTGTTGGTCGGTCAATAATTTCTTTATTTCTACTACTACTTCTTTTTCTTTTTTCTTTTCTATCCCTTCATTTATTATTTCTTCTATTTTTGTTTCTGGGATTTTATGACCTAGGGCTTTTTTAATTCTATTCCACATTCCTTTCTTACTGTACCATCTATCTAATATGTTATTTCCAATTTCACTTTCTCTGGTACAGTAGTACATCACTGTTCTTACTAATTCAATAACATATTCGTCCCTTATATTTATTAATCATTCATTTCTTCTTGAGGGACATACAACCTATCTTTGGAGTTTCACCATTGTATTTTGCCTTTCTTAAGTATTTTCTTATCTCCAAATCAATTTTGTCTAGGTCAGTTATTTTCCAATTTACAACTGATGCTGAATATCTGAAAATAGGGATTACTTCATTGTTTATTCTAGTAATATATCTTATATTACTACTTTCATCAGTGTTTATTTCTTCCATCTTCTTCATCATTTTTTCTTTGATGGTTTTACAATTGAAGGTGTCATCAATTTCATCGGACTGCCATATTCCTAAGTATTTATACAAGTCCTCACCTTCAATGACTGGGATGTTTTGCATTCCATTTGGTATTTCTTTAATGTTTTTTAATACCAATCCTGATTTTTTCTCATTCATTTCCATCCCTATTCCACTTATTATTTCTTTAATTTCATTGTGGATTATTCCCATTTCTTCACTACTTTGCGTCATTATTCTCAAATCATCCATATATAATGTGTGATTTGCTTTTGGGAATTTCTCTTCGATGATTTGTGAAATTACATTCATCTGAATGATGAAGAGTAGAGGGGATAAGGAATCACCTTGTAAAATTCCTCTATTTAATTTAATACTACCTAGATATTCATTAAATTTATAGCCGATGAATATCTTCCATCTAGTCATTATACTTTCAATTATGTCAATGATGACACCCTCTACATTAAAATACTTTAATGATTCAATTACCCATTCGTGGTTTACTGTGTCATATGCTTTCTTAATGTCATAATATGACTCCACATATTTTGGGTATTTCTCTTCTTTCTGCTGCTTCATCATATAACTATTAATTATTCCTTCTTTAGCAGCTAAAGATTGCAACTTACATCCCAATTGGTTGCTACTGATTTTAAATGATTCACAATTCATGTTAAGTCTTCTGTGAATCTTTTCTTTTAATATGGAGGTAAATACTTTCATAATTACATTTGTACAACTGATAGGACGATAATTAGTGACATTATTCATATCAATTTGTGGATTAATAAAGTTCTTCCACTTACCATGTCTAATGGGATGTTTTCGGGGAAGTTTAACCATTCATTGAAGATACTGAGAATGGCTTCTCTTGATGATGACATCCTTTTCCAATAATACCCATATATAGTGTCTATTCCTGGTGCTTTCCAGTTACTTATTTTCATTATACTTAAATTTAATTCATTTATTGTTATTATGACACTATCATAATTTCTATATCTTTCATTCCACAAGATGATTTGTTTTATTTTCCAATTTTCTTTATTTAATATCACCTGTGTTTCGTATAACAATTTCATGTATTCTAAAGTAATATCGTTATTTGGGTATATTTCATTTTTGGGGTCTTTTTTCCTTATTCTAATTTTCTTGTTAGAATCAAACATGATTTTATTTGTATTGATTCTGACTATTGCATCTTTATTAAATTTAATTCTTTCTTTTATCATTGTCATCATATATTTTATGTATTTTATTCTTTCTAGTGCTTTAACTTTTATTCCTTCTTCATCATGTTCATTTAATTTCATGATGCACTTTATTCTGTACCATTTCCTTCCCTTGACCAAATCTTCTAGTCTATTTATTTTCTTTAGGATTTCTTTAATTTCATCAAATTTATCTCTTATTATTTTATTTTGGAGATAGAGGTGCATACACATTGAAATATTCTTCATATCATCTTGCAGATAATCCATTCTGCTTCATGATTATACTCATCTATTATTAATTTCCCTTATTAATTCATCAGTTTCTTTTCTTTTCCAGTAGTAATTAATGTTTGAACATTTTTCTACTTTCATTTCTTTCACTTTATTGATGAGAGTGTTAAGATATTCTTCATCAATTTCAGTAGAATTATTCTTTAATATGATGTTTTTTATTATTGAATTACACTCTACTCTTCCTTCCATTATATCATTTACTTTCACTTTAATGTACCGTTTAGTGCTTTCTTTTATTTTATGTGATATTTTAATATATTTAATATATTCTTTTTCATTATTGACATTGATGTTTGTCACTTTTATTATACTTTCAATTTGTTCCCATCTTAATTTCTTATATAATTTCTTATTCAACCAATTAATTCAAAACAATACAACACTTCATTTAAAATTTGATTTCTTTGGTTTGTTGTATTTCTTGTCTGATTATCATCTCTTGTTTTTTTGACAATCAGTGCTTTGCTTTCCTCTTCGATTTCCACTACTGTCTTTTTCATAGGAGTAGTTTCGTTCATCTCCATCGTTCCTGATGATGCTTTCCTCAATACTGGTTGTGTATTTATCACAAGTGTCATCGTTTTCTTCTTCTCTAATTCCTTCTGTGAGATAAAATTTTCAATATCATCTTGTTGTTTTGATATTATTTGTTTTTGTGCTTCATTTTCTTTTTGTGTGTTGTCTAATTCTTCTCTTGTTATTTCTGCAATTTCTTGGTTTTTAATTGCAATTTCTTGATACTCAGAGATTTGTTTTTCTTTATCTCTTATTTCTTTCTTTAATTCTTCAGTGTTTTTTTCTATCATTTCAATCTTCTTCTCTAGTGTGTTTGTATTTTGTTCTAGTATCTTGTTTCTCTTTTTCAACTTTTCAATTTCTTCTTTCATTTCTTCATTTTCTTTTTCAATCTTCTTTTTATTAGCTTGGATGCTTCGGATTTTTTCTTCTTTATTATTTACTTCTGTGATTTTCTTTCCTTCTATCTCATTTATTTTTCCTTGTAATTTTAAATTTCTTTCTTCTAATTTTTCATTTTCTTTCTTCATTTCTTCATAATTCGTTTGAATCTTTCTATTTTGTGTTTTCATTTCTGTAATTTCTTCTTCAAATTCTTTCCTAACTATTTCTTTTGCTTTTCTCATCATTTCTTCTGAGATGGCTTGTTCTTCTTCCATTCTTTTCATACTTAATTCTTTAAGTTTTCCTTGTAATTCAGTAATTTGATTTTTCAGAGCAAGTATTTCTTCTTTTTCTTTTTCTTCTTCTATCTTTTCTTCTTTATTTTTTGTTTCTTCTTGTACTTTCTTTATACTTTCTGTTTCATTTATTATTCTTGCAATTTTACATCTATCATTCATTTCTTTAATTGGGTTTTTGTTTTTAATTTCTTCTTCATTTGTTTTAATGTCTTTTTCCTCCCAATCTTTTGTTTTTTCTTTAAACTCTTCTTTCGTTTTTTCAATTATCTTTTTCTTTTTAATTGAATATACTTCTTGGAGGATATCATACCATCTTTTCTTCTTACCTTCATATTTTTTAAGTATTTCTTCGTATTCTCCTTCATTCCATTCATTTGTTATTTTTTTTATTCTTTCTTGTATCTCTTTTATTGTTAGCCATTTGTATTTGTTATTTGTATAATCTTTATTGTTATTGTATTTACCTTGTTTTTTATTTGTTTTTCTTTGTGTCTTTCGTCTTCTAAACCCTTTTTCCTTGATGTATCGTTTACCTTTATTATTATAATTGTTATGCCATTTATTGCTATTGACATTTCTTTTTTTGTTGTATGACCTTATATTTCTATGTCTTGTTTGCTTTTCTTTACAAGACCCTAAGGTTTTACACAATAGCCATGGCATTAAAATTTGTTGTATTTCCTGCATTGGAAAAGGATCTCGTTTTAAAAAATAAAAATAAACCAAGAAAAAAAAACTAAAAACAAGACTCAAAAATCAAAAATGAAATTATTGGTATATGTTTCACTCATCATTTTTTCTTTTGGTATTGTTGTTAATAAAACTAAAAAGATTAAGCTGTATTCTGTTTGTCTTTCTTTTTCATCCTTTTTTATACCTACACTCACTTATAGAAAACAAAACAAAATACTTGCCAAAAAGAACAGTGTTCTATTCCATATATTTCTCAAACTTCATTTGACTGTTCTAATGAAGCAAGTGCAAGTGGGTTGTTAAGCAAAGGGGAATTTACTATTGATGATTTGATAGAAGCTATGTACTTTTATGGAACAACAATAGACCTTGTAGGATCATTAAATAAAGACGCCTTTAGCCCACCCTCTTTTATTGTTGTTAAAGTGAATAATAAGCCTGTTAGATTTGGGGTTATAAATGAAGATTATTTAAAATGTAGATCTGAAGAGTGTTGTATGAGAAGATACAGTGAATCAACAACAGACAGTATTGTCAGAAGAGGAAAAAATATATTTTCAATTGAGAGTCAAAGTAATGTTATATGCATTTCTTCTATAGAGATTAAGTTTAATTATGGAATACAATTACCTGATATTATTACGCTAACACCATCATGTGGTCCTATAGAAGGGAATACAACGATTCAAGTATTTGGGAATAATTTTCAAGAAGAAGGAAAACAATATTATTGTTGGTTTGGGAATGAAAAAAGTAAATTTGATGTAATAAATTCTACATTTGGAAATTGTTTAAGTCCAAATATTAATAAAATTCATTCATATCAATTTCATGTTGGATATGAAGATGATGGAAATATTAAATCAAACGTCGAGTTTGAATATTATAATTGTTCGATAATGAAAGCAGAAAATCAAAATTATCAAGAAAAACAAATTATTATGGTTAATGGAAATGGATTTATTGACACTAAAAGTATTTATTGTAAATTAGAAGAGACTAACTATAGCAAACTATCACCTATTATTTTAAAAGCAGAGTATATTGATCAAAATACAATAATATGTCAAATAAATAATATGGATGAAATTAAAAACAAAAAGTATTTTCTTAGTATTTCATTAAATAATGTTGACTATATTAAATACAACACAAGCGTTTTAATTAAACCTGAAGTTCAATATTATAGCATTGAATGGATCATTATTCTAATAATATTGACAATAACTATTATTATTCTTCTATCAATAGTTACTGTTGGTGTTTTATTTATAAAGAAACAATCTCAACAAGAATCGGTTGATCAAACAATCTCAACAAAAGAGATAGTTTGTGATAAAATTATTGGAAGAGGTAGTTTCGGGGATGTATGGAGTGCTAGTTGGAAAGGTCAAGAAATAGCTGTAAAACTCATTCCTATTGAAAGGGTAGAAAAGAAAAATATTGAAGAAGTTACTAAAGAAGTTAAACTTATGAAATCACTAAGACATCCTTGTATTCTTCAATTCTTTGGAAGTGGAATGGATAATAATTTTATGCTTATAGCAATGGAACTAATGCAAAATGGTACTGTTAGAGAAATATTAAATAATAGTTGTATTAATTTAACTATAGAAAATAAATTAAGAATGCTTAAAGACACTGCTAGTGGAATGTTTTATCTTCATCACTGTAAACCACCAATTCTTCATAGAGACCTTAAAACTAATAATTTACTTGTTAATGATAATTGGTGTGTAAAAGTCAGTGATTTTGGATTATCAACTCCTTTACTTGGTAAAGAAATTAACACAACAAATCTTTGTGGTACATTAGCATGGATTGCTCCAGAAATTTTACAAAATAAACCATTTGGTATTAAAAGTGATGTATATTCTTTTGGTATTGTTATGTGGGAAATTCTTACTCGAAAAAGACCATACTCTAAACTTACTCCATATCAGATAATGCTTAGTGTCAGCCAAAAAGGATCTAGACCTAAAATTCCAAAAAAACTTGCAACTAATGAAATAAATAAAAAATATATTGAACTAATGGAACGTTGCTGGGATGAATTACCTGAAAGTCGTCCTTTGTTTGATGAAATTATTGATATTTTGACTGATTTAATAGAAATGACAAAATTTTGTTAATAAATGTTATATATAATCAAAATTTATTTCTTTTTCATTTAAGGAATTTAAAGTACTAAATTTTTATTTATAGATCCAAAAAAGAAGAAAAGAGAAAAATCTAGAGAAAATGAAAAGAAAAAAAGAAAAAGGATTTTTGAGATTCAAAGATGTCTGCTGAACAAACTGCAACATTAACTGTTTGTCTATTTTTTAGTATTAAAAATTAAGGTAAAATGAAAGGTAAATAAATGAATAAACGAAAAAAATATTAATAAAATAGTATGAATTTGAAAGTATTGCAAAGAAATTGGACTATTTACAACATTTAACTAAAGGCTATGCTTCTCTCTTCCAACAAAGAGGAAATACTGAAATTGAATATGCTAAACATTTGATTCAACAATGTTCAACTCCTATGAGAGTTGGAACCCTTTTATTAAAAAAAGAAGTTCCATTAGACTCTCTTGAAAATACTATGAAGAGTGCTTTAACTGCATTTAATACAGAAACATTAAAAGTTGCTCAAAGACATAATGAAATGGGTGTTATTTTTATTGAACAAGTTTCTAAGCCATTAGAAAATTTACAACGCACACTTGAATTGAACAGAAAAAGAATTGTTAATGAATATCTTGTAAAACACAAGAACCATCAATTATTAATTAAGAATGCTGAGAAGAGTGCTGAACAATATAAAAAGGCTGTTAATGAATTGAAACAAATTACCTCTCAATTAAATACTGCAATGACACAAAATGTAACTATGGTAGATAAATTAGTAGCTAGAAAACAACAAGCTGTTACTCGTGTACAAACAGCTGAAAATAACTATAAACAAGCAGTTGAAAAAGCCAATGCTTTTGGAGAAGAAATGTATGGTGAGCCAGTAAAAAAGATTAATGAAAGTGCCATTGAATTAATTAAGAATCAATTTGATAGTGCTAAAAATGTTTTTGGTATTGTTGCTACTCAATTAACTGAAATTGTACCAATTGAAGATGAAGCCTATAAAACACTTAAAACAGAAGTTGATAAGATGAGTTATGAAGAAGACTTAGAACAATTCGTTAAGGCTAATGCTAATGTTCACTCTGCTTATGTTCTTTCTGTTGAACTTGATACTACCTTAAATGAAACACCTGAAGACAATTTTGTTAATGCTCCAATTAATACTGAAACTCCAGCCACAACAGACTCTACCACTGGAACAGAAAAGAAAGAAGAAGAGAAACCAGTTGAAGAAGAAAAGAAAGAAGAAGAGAAACCAGTTGAAGAAGAAAAGAAAGAAGAAGAGAAACCAGTTGAAGAAGAAAAGAAAGAAGAAGAAAAACCAGTTGAAGAAGAAAAGAAAGAAGAAAAACCAGCTGAGGAAGAAAAGAAAGAGTAAGAGCAAACCTCTTTTATTCGATTGAACAATAATGATCAATTGAGACAATTTTCTTTAATAATTATCATAGAGTTATTATTTATTTTTTTTAATAAGTAGTTAATAATTATAGTTTGTTGCTTGAGGTAAATTATTTCAATGTCTTTGGTATTAGTAGAAAAACACAGCACATACTTTCTCTTGTCATGACTAATTTGTTAGTGATAAATAGTAGGAATGTAATTATTTTATCTTTTATGATGTTAGACTTTTCATTTGAAATGAATGGTTTATATCTCATATATTTCCTTGAAATAATTAAACCTTCTTTGCTTTATTAACAAAATAATAGAAATTTCTTCCAGTGAAATGAAAAATCAAATTCAAACTATTCATGTAACTTTGCTCAATCAAATAAATATCTAAAAATAAAAGCTGAGACTTTTGAAGAAAAGGAAACAAAAACTTAAAATATGACAAACTGAAAAGATAAAATTATAATTTCACGATGAGACCATCTCATCAATCAGTTTGTTATTTTATTTAAAAGTGTTCTTTTAAATTTTGTTCATTAACGGAGTATAGCCACTTCAATGGATCAATGAACAAGCCAAAATCAACTTGACTAGTTTTAAATCATTGGAGGATGGAGTTGTTTTTGTTCAATTAGTTAACAACCTAACAAATACTAAAGTTGCTTTCAGTGCTCAACCTAAAAATATTTTTCAACGTATAGAAAATTTTAGTGTAGCTTTTGCAACCATTAGGAACAAGTTCAAACATGATTGTACAGAAAATATTATGAGAATGGTTTCTGGGGATGAAGAGGAAATAGCTAAATTTGCTTCAACTTTACAACAAGTTTGGACTGTAAAAAATAAACCAAAAGTGAGTAAATTTGAACCGTTCCATTTTAAAAAGAAGAATGAAAGAACAATAACACATAATACTAATAATACTGTAATAATGAAAAAACCTTCTAAACAATCTATTGTACAAGTTAATGAAATGGATTCAATTAAAAAGGAGAGTATAAAAGAAAATAGTAGTAGTAGTTCTATTTCAAATGAAGAAGGAAAAGGGTATGAATTTACTGGAGATGAAGAGATTCTTATTGATGAGATAAAAAGAAAAATGAATCGATTTAGAAGAGCCAGTGATCCAAGAGAAATGCAAGTTGTTACTGATGTTGACTTGTATAGTAAAAGGTCTAGAAAAACAATTTGTTTTGGAAAAATTAAGAATGAACAAGTTGGAGAAAGTGCTGAATGTATTGAGTCAAGTGGAACTACAACTACAGAAGGAATAAGTAGTGAAGAAAATGAGAGTGAAGGTTTATCTTGTAGAGACCAAAGCACTGAAAGACTCAGCTCAAGTGAACTAAAAATTGAAGAGAAAAAATTACGACCGAGTCTTCAAGGGAAACTTCATAGGAGAAAAACTACAAGGTTCAGTGCTGAGTTTGGAAAAGAACTTCAAGAGGCTCTTTTAAGACAACACAATGAACATGAACTACGGGTATTTAATGAAGACCAATTTAAAAATGTACTTAAAGAACTTCATGAAAAAAGAAAGCAAAAAGATGATGTTGTGTTATTAAAGAAATGTGGAGAAAAACAAGCTATTTCAGTGAAAATGAAACCTAATGGAAGGAATATTTCTCCAAAGAAAGAAGTTCCACCACTCTGTATTAATTCAATGATACAAACAATCTCATATAATAGAGAGATACCTATTCGAAGAAGAACACAAAGAAGGCAATCATGTGCATTGGCTATTGATGAAGTACATGAAATACAAAAAGTTATTGGAGTTGAAAAGAATTGGAATGAGAAAATATATACTGAACAAGACATAGTTCTAGTTAAAGAGATTCAATGGTTAATCAGAAACAGAGAAGCTCATAAAAATGGAATAAAAATTATAAAAAGAATGAAAGAAAGAAAAGGGGCTGTTTTAGAATTAATGAAAAATGAGAAATATTTTTTGGAAAATATGGAAATCTTAAAAGAAAGTCTTGAAGTACTTAAGAGTAATGGAGGAGGAAGTATATTTGCTCTTGCACAAGAATATAGGAAGAAAGTTGTTGAAGTAACAGAAGAATTAAAGAATAAGTTAGAAGAAATTATTTGTAAGAAAAAAGAAGTATATGGCAATGGAATTGCTCAATGTTTCATAAAGGAATTTGGTAAATTTGAAGAATATGCATATTTCATTAATTTGTATAAAAGAATAATGAATGACTATGAAGAGATTATGAAAAAACAAAGTGAAAAAATGCCAATTTATGAATATATGTTAAAATTAAAAATTAAAAAACAAACAGATTTAGACTCATTAAGTTCTATGCCGTTTCAACATATTATGAGATATAAAATACAACTAAATAGAATTATGGAAACATTACCAAAATATGATTCAAGAATGAAGGAATATGAACAAGCAAATCAAATTGTTGGAGATGTTATTTATAATGTTAATAATCAATATAAAAGTTTTGCTCAATCAACAGAGTTAAATGAAATTATTGAAAGACTATCAATTAAAATAGATAAAACATTATTTGGAAGAACAGTTTTATCAATAGAAAATGGTAATATTATTAAAGTTAAATCAAAAGATATTTTTAAAGGGAAGTATAAAGGAAAAACAAAAAAATGTGTTATTCTTATTATTTCTGATGCTATTTTATTTATTGTTAATAAATCATTAACTGATTTAAGTGAAGTACATCTTTCAGATATTTCAGAGAAGAAAAAAGTATTAGTAGAAAATATATTTTATTTTGATAATCTTGTTTTAATGCCATTTAGTTCACATGAACTCCATATTTATAATAATAAAGAAGATTATTTAATAAAATTTTCTAATACAAAGGAAATGACATGTTTTATAAATACAATAGAAGAAATGATAACTAATTTATGGATTAGATACAGTTCAGTATTAAAGTCAATCAAAACAGATAAATATTCATTCTTCTCGACTGAAGTAGAGGATTCATCTTTTCATTCAGATGCACTTTTAGATAAAAGTACTGTTATTCATATTGTGTTAGCTGGAATTTATTTATTCTTATACAAAAGTACTTTAGATTTTGTAAAGCAAAGGAAACCATTACATACATTTAATTTGTTTGAAACTAAAGTTTTAATTCAATGTAACGAATTAGGAGAGACAGCATTTATTACCTTTTGTGTAAATGATAAAGAGATTAAAGTTCAATTACAATCACTTCCATTAGGAATGTTGTGGATGAATTGTATGAGAAATGAAATGCAGTCATATCTTTATGCTAATAGAAATTGTCTTCCATTATTACCAAACTTACCTATAGGAATTAATCCATGGTATATATGGCAAATTATTCCAAATATTAATGAAAATGATAAATGTTTTCTTTGTGGGAAATTTAGTTCAATGGTCGATGCTCGTACTGGAAAATTTTATTGTAATGAATGTGGAAAAAAAAAAAGAGATGCTTCTTTATGTGAAACATCTAGAACTGCATTATCAGTACTTGCGTCAATAACAAAAGATTCAAGACAATTATTAGCACGCGGAAATAATATTCTTAAAGCATTACTCCAAGACCATTAAACATTGTGTTTTTAGTAATTTCAACATATATTTTTGTTTCTTTTTTTTTCTA